GTATTTTTTTTAAATATTGAAGTTGAAAGCATCAATCTGGTGCACTTTGAGAGCAACATGAAGAGATCTATGGATACCTCTCTCAGCACCCATATGAAACAGAACTGTAAACAGATTTTCTTTTTCTTTATGGATATTTTACAAATCACTCCCCTTTTAAACTGTATTCTTGTTTTACTGACATACTGTATAGTAGGCTATTTCATACCTGTTTTTCATTTATTCTCTTATTGTTTGTATAACTATAATGATCATATGAAGGTGTGCCGCGGAAATAATCTTTTGAATAATTTGTGACAAAACCATTCTAAACACTTAGAGTCCTTTAGCTCACCTGAGCCCCTCAGTCTGACAGGAGAGCACTCTCCTCCAGCTTGTTGTGGTAACAGCTCCTTATGTCCGTTAGTTAGTTAGTTAGTTAGTGCAGCTAGCTAACCAGATGCTAACATCATGGTCCCCGCTAGCACCGGTCCCTCTCTCTCCCTCACTCCCTCTCTCCCTCCCTCTCCCTCCTCTCTATCACACTAAATGCGCTATCGCCACACACACACAGAGCCGAGCTTGAATGACACAAGCACACGTGTATTTCCATGCAACTCTCTGATTGGTCTGGTGTGTTGCCTCTGTTGCGTTCACTGAACACGGGAAATTACAGTCCTGCCGTCGTCTCTTGTGTCATGATGAGGTTCACGTAAAGCACGGTTAATGTATTATATTATTGAGGTGTCTCAAATATACGTCAATCAAGTGGCACCTGCTAACGGGGTGGTGGATGATAGGTTTACATCTAAAAACATATTTTTCAAACATTATTATTTTAATTTTATTTTTCTTTCTTTTGTTACTTTTTTTTTAACGGTCCGCGATCTACCCGCACCACACTCGCGATCGACTGGTTGGCGACCACTGACCTAAAGGCAGATTGAAACAATTTGTCACATAATAAAGTATTTGTTTCTTTCATCAGGCAATAGAGCGTGCCCCTTCACAGCTGAACTCTGAGTCTAATGGGCAGGAGGGGTCCAGTGAGGCAGCTGAGCCGGGCCTCAGTGAGGCGGAAACCATGGAGGTCAGAGGGAGTCGCTTCTCTAAGTCGGCTGAGGAGAGGCAGAAGATGTTGAGGCAGAGGAAAGAAGAGATGGTCCAGCAGGCTCGCAGGTTGGGACATACACACTGCTTATTTTATAACTCATAGAATGTGCTGCTTGGCTATGGTTACATATTTAATGTGACTGTGATTATGCATCGTAGCTCAGCTGTAGAAATTGTGTTTTGGGAAATAGACCCTTCTTTGTGGGTCGAGTTTGTCTTGGTCTGTGGAAGGAACAGACACAAAACAATTTTTAAAAGCCGTCTTTGTTTGGCTACCAGAATAGCTAATCTGTACACGACTAATAAGTAGAACCTCTGTTCACAGCTGGTAGACATTTATGGTTGCCTTTTTCCCCTTAAAAAAAACAAACCCATATTCTGTTCCCATGATCATGCTGTATGTTGTTTATTACTCCCTTCTAGGAGATATATGTACAACAGTCCAGAGGATCCGGACGTGGATTTGCCTGAACTGGAGGAGGAAGAGGAGGAGGAAGAGGAGGACACTGGTCCAGAATTGAACTTGACTACGTTGAGACGTAGAACCATGGCAGCAGCTGCAGAGAGACGCATGCAGAGTCAACAAGACCCAGAACCCTGAGGGCACAGATTGTTTTCAGCAGGAGAGTCTACCACATCATCATCATCATCATCACAAGAGGCACAGACAGAGCTATTTCAACCCTGCTCCATTTGGTATACAGTCAGTGGTTATCAACTATTCAAAACCATCATTAAAAAGCATTGCTAACATGGCCTTTGGACTGTTTCGAGCTGCCTTAATAAGGTGGGACTATTGTGAATGGCCTCTGCATTACTGATTCCAGAGTGTTTGGAACATTATATCAATCGATGGGTGCAAGTCAAGAAATGCAAGGTTGCATTGCCCTTTATTCACGTGCCACACATTGAACCACCAGCTTCAGCAGGGAGTCACATTTAGGACTGGCTGTCAGAAATGAGCATGCTTTGCATTCAGAGAGAAGGGGTTTGAAGGTGTCTTTACTAGGTAAAAGCTATTTGGGTCTTTGTTTGTTTTCCTTTTATCAGACTTTATTTTCACTTGTTTTGCTAATGGCGAGCAGCTACGTATTCTGAGTGGAGAAACTCATCTGATGTATTTGTGCGTTATTATTTTATGGGTTTCGACTGTGAATTAACTGTAGGCAAAATCACATGTTCTTATTTCTTACCTTGGAGTAAGAGAATGTCACTTTAGTATTGTTCAGCCTTTCTGTCAAATATGAATGTTCCTATCAACATAATGCTGCAGACAAAGTGTTTTTGACCCACGTGGGTTCTGTATTTAGGGTGAAATATCATCCATTGCAACCAGTTTTGTTATTTAACACACAGTGGACATGTACATCTTAGTTTTTCTAATACTGTTTGCTTGAGATGCATAGGCAACACGGGATGTAGTATATTTTGTACAAGTTCTCTCAGTCTTTAACTAGCATCTCAAAATGGTCAGTTCTCTCTTAATAAGATCATATTATGTTCTACTGAATATAACCGTGGGTCATTTGTGTCCATCATTTTGGAACGAAAGTGCAAGTAGAAATTGTTGGTCTGTGACTGCTCTACTTGCTGGAAGACTCTTTGCTACTCATCCAAGAGGCTTTGGCAGCAGAATTAGAAGTAAAAAGTAATCAAGAGTCGACAACAAGTTTACTGAGCTTTGGACTTATTGGTTCTGGATATTTAATTACCTGAACGTTTTTTTGAATGATCGTATCTGCCTTTGACTAATCACATTGAGGAATGCTAGTTTATAACTCGTAGTAAAGGACATAATCATCCTCTGCTTAAATATATTTTTAAGTAGTGCAGTTGTTACAACCCAAGAGAATCACTTTTATAAAAATACCTAGAATAACCAAAAGACATTAAGAGTAGCTTAATGAATCTTTAAACATTATAACTAACAGTAAAGTCTACTAACAGAAGACTCAAGGTGCTGGCCAACATGAACATGAAGAAGGAAGACTCCGTGTGATCTGGGCCCCCTCCCTCTAACTTAAGCCAACAATTAAACTAAACCTAAAATAAATACAATCAGTGAACACAGGATTACAAATTAATAGGAAAAATAACCACATCACATCAGTCCCAAATACAAGCTGCTGCTGCTGCTGAAGGAGGAGGGTGGAAAGACACAACACGCCATGAATGAAAAGCAGATGCACATCCTTTCCAGTATTGTCAAATATCACTGCATCTGAAGTTTGTTATCAATGGACATAAAATATGGACGCTGTGTTTGTTATTAGTTTAATTTTTTGTTATAAGAGTGCAAGGGCAGTGTGAGGTGAAATGCGCATGAATAAGTGCTTTTGTTTCCTTATCCCAAAGAACAGCCCACAGACTTCCACTTAAAGCTGAAGTGTTGTGATTTCTACTTTGTGTTTATTTCTTTGTTTTGAAGGTGTTGTAAGATGATACAGTATAGGATTTTTGATTTCAGATTTCAATTTGTCACAATTTACAAAAAGAAGTTGGACTATTTTGTTTAATATCCATGATATATTTTCCTGGTTATCTTTCATAACTATTAATGACAGAACTTTTTGGACTGAGCTTTCCTGTATGTTTGTGCCTAAATCAAGATTGGTTCGGTTATGGATAATTTCTGTAAATGTAGTTTTTGTAAAATATGTGAATACAAAAGACTTAATAAACAGAGCTTCTCCAGCTTTTTAACGAAACATGGTAATTTAATATTTTGTATTGAGACAAAACCCACCTTTGTTGATGCTTTGTTAATGTTCACCACCTTTGCTAATGTAAATCAAATTGTATAAGTAATAGTGAAGCCTTCCCAATGAGTAGTGGCCAGTATTTATACATTGGACCTTTGAGTTGATTAGTCTAATGTGTACGTGTGAGTGCTCTGACAGGCAATCAGACTAAATGACTGATTAGAGTCATATATCAGTCTGATCAAATATGAAATGGTTTCTGTTAATATCAGTTTACTTTTATTTTTGTTATTTAATGAAATGCTTATAAAGTTAACAAAAACATATAAGGAATACAGTTTGTTAAACATTTTATTAAAAGAGGTACATGCATATTTAACTTAAATATATTTTTATTGCATTTTAGATCACTATAAAACTGAATGCTGAATTTGTATTTTATTGTACTGGTGAATATTAGGTAACAAGTCAGAACATTAACAATAACAACCAAACAGCACATATAATGTTTGCCTTCATAAACAATAACACTTGCTTTCTGTAAACACATGTTAATCCCACATAACAGCGTTAATAGCCTACTTATGCTATATAAATAAACTTGCCTTGCATTGCCTTGTTATATGCATAAAAAAGTTACTATCTGAGAGGGGTGTGTACTTTTACTGATGCATTGACGTCATCGGCCAACAGTAGCAGCCAACAGATCAGCCACGTGTGCTTATTATCACTACCCGATCCGTACCCGATCACACAACCTGTGCTTCACGTATATAGGCTGTATGGAGGTATATATACGGGTATCAAACCTGCTTGTCATCACCGTAAGAACGATGTCTGGTAATAAGTCTGTCAAAAAGGACACGTTTTAAGCGATTCAATAAAGTTCGCAAAGTTCTGAACAGGCATCTCCACAGTCACCTATACTGTCTAGTCCAATCTGTAGGCGTCCTGATATATCAACATCATAAAACACAGCTTAAAACGCGTACTGAATGCGGATTAAAGTATTCCTATGGAGGCTAATATACTATACCATAAACATACTAAAAAATGAATGTGAACGACACGTGTATAACGAGAACGTGCGGTGAAAAAGAGTCGAAGCGATCACACTTTCCATTTCCTGGTCCGTCCACAGTGGGTCCTCAAAGACGCCTCACACTGGAGTATCACCAGCTAATCTCCTACACCGGTTGTCATTCATTTATCTCACTCTGCGAATACTTTACTAGACCTTCTTTCGGGTGTGTTTGCCACAGGTAAGTGATTAAAAATAGTTAGCTAGCGGATTAGCCTTTGGGGATTGCGCCATGGATGAATGGGTGACGCTTATGTGAACTTCAGCTCTGACGCTGTCTAAGCTATACATAGTTTACTCATGTGTAGGTGGCTTCTTGAAGCTGTTTGACAGGACACAGGAGAAAAGTATGACGCTTAAAAAAACATATCAATGCAGTTGTTTAGCTTCCTACTTAATTCATTAAGTAATGACAGTTATTAGACTTGTTGTGTGATGCTAACGTTAGCCAGACAAACATTACCCTTTAAACATAGGAGTGTAACTTTATTTGACAAACATGTTTTAATATAAGCAGTAGAATCAAATTTTAGACTTGGTACATTACTCGAGGTAAACACAGGGAAGGAGGAAACCCCTGAATAGTAATTATATGAGCCATACCATTTGAATGAATACAAGTAAAAAGGCTACATCAGAAGGGGATACGAATAATAATAATACAACTAATTTAAATTAACATGACGCGGTAAACTATAGTAATTGTGTTTTGCTGCCATGGAAACTAGAATTATGACGCATTAGTCATAGTTAGATAGTTTAGATGAGGAGGAAACATTTAGTAGGACAGTCCCTCTCCAGATTACATATCCTGGGCCAGATCCTGGAAAGAAAATCATTTATGAATGCTGTAAGGTGAGGTCAGGCTTTAGCACAGACCTTACAGAATGCTAAAGACGGAAATCACTTTATAATGTATTATTGAAAGATGATCAACATTGAAATTAATATGTAAGTGTTCCCTTGTCCAACTAGCTTATCGACTCCTGGAGTGTGGCAGTAAAGTAATGAACACTTTTTTTACCAATTGAAACTTTATTTGTCAGGTCAAAGTTCTATGTGATTTAGAACAGACAAATCCAGTCTGATGGGCTGATATATTCTGTGTGTCATATTTCCTGTATTTTCCATATACCATTTGTCATGGGTGTGTGTTGGTGGACTTACCGGTTACTTACTGCCTATGTGTGTGTTTCCGTAGAAGAGATTGTGGAATGCTGCTAAACGAGACTCCAATTTTTGAGCCCTCCCTCCTCCAGGAGCTGGACTGGAGTAGCAACACTGTCCCTTTCTCTCCCCCCATCTCTCCCTCCAGCCCGGGGGAGGGCCTGGTGCTGAGGCCCCTCTGCACGGCAGACTTCCACAGGGGTGAGTCAAAGACTGCATACACAACATATTACAGACCAGCATTTGATGTGGAAAGCATGTTTGTTGTCCCATGGCATCCTACTGTATATGGAGGATCTTGGGAATTTCATATTTTAATTCAACATTTATATAATTTAATAACAGTTGTTGTGTTCTAGGATTCTTCAAAGTTTTATCTCAACTCACCACAACGGGGGACGTCACACCAGAGCAGTTCACGAGTAAGCTTAGCATAATGCTACATTTACCACTTGCAGTTTTCATATTTAAAATCCTAAAGTGTTACCAACTTGCATCTTGTGCCAAAACAATCACAACACATACATATTTGACATGCATTCGATCACATATTTGAGAAGAGAGAGAACCCTTATCCTAAAAAAAGAACTTTATATACAATCCTGTGTAAGAAAAGATCAGTGAACTGTTTATTATCTAATTGCTTCCAGAAAAGTTTGATCATATGAAGAAGTCAGGAGACTACTACGTCGTTGTGGTGGAGGACACAAACCTGAGACAGATCGTTGCCACAGCCACCTTGATCACAGAACATAAATTCATCCACTCCTGTGCTAAGGTAAATTACACCCCGTAAAGCTATTTTAATTTCCTCTAAAGAAGTTACTTATTAATGAAGTGGTTATCAGAATGGTGACTAGTATCACCATTGTTCCTAACCATAAGAAAAGTTCCAAATACTTTTTGGTTCACTTGTAACTTTGGAAATTCAATTTGCATAATAACCATAATGTTTTTAATGGATATCCTCTATTCTGTTTCATTTGTAGAGAGGCCGGGTGGAGGAAGTAGTAGTCAGTGACGTGTGCAGAGGGAAGCAGCTGGGTAAACTGTGAGTATAGAGAACCTTCTCTTTGTCAAAGCTAGTTGAGTAGCACTTGACATGTTTTGGCTCTCTGAAACCTGATGTACTTATGATTCTGTTTTCTTCAAGTTTGTATCTTCTTGGTCGAATGCACTTATTGTAAGTCGCTTTGGGTAAAAGCGTCAGCTAAATGCAATGTGATGTAATGTCCCACAAATCAAACATCACAAACATAATGCAGTTATTTAGGATTTTAATGAGCTTTATTTTCATGTTCCTCTCTGTTGTTTTCTCTCTGTCCCTGTAGGTTGGTTTCAGTTCTTACTCTTCTCAGCAAAAAACTGGAATGCTACAAAATCACACTTGAATGTTCACCCACCAATGTGGCTTTCTACCAAAAGTTTGGCTACACCGCATCGCACGAGACTTACATGCAGTGTCGATTTCCCAACGAAGGACAGCAGAAGCTTTAAACCTCCGTTTTTGGAGGGGATGGACCACACCTTTTATCTACTCGCTGAAACATCAAAACAAAATGTCTTAAGAATTAGGAGAGCTGGCCAAGGATGAGTCAGGGGTTGTGATCCTGAACTCAACACTGAGTAAACATAAATGGACGTTGAAGCCGTACGGTACAACACCATCCTCCACCCCTTTGGTAACCATAGCTACCCATAGCTACCTCACCAGGGTGGAGCTCTGCCATCATCTTCCTCCAGCATACGAAGAAACTAATGTCAGTTACTCTAAATGTCTTCTCATTGTGTTTCTAACAATAAGTTGTTTTCTGGGAACTTACTTAGAAAATAATGATCTTTATGACTTATCCAATTGCCAGTAAATACAATTGCTTAGGATTTATAGATGAAATTTAAGTTGTCTCTTTTTATAATATGTTCTTTGGTACAAAGTGCTCTATATGCTTGACAGTAATGTTGCTGGATAACTAATGAGGGTTTTAACACTACAAGACATGAATCAATAATATCAAGACTGTTATAATGTATAATATTTCTAGTGGAAAAAAAAGGTTTATATTTCAGTGGTGAGGAATTAACGTTTTGTATTTGGCCGACATTTTAATTTTGATTCCAGGTGTGAAAGAAACATTTTGTGATGAGAAATGGATAAAAAATGATTTTTATTAATGGACTATTATTTAAGTTATATAATTATGCTGTTATTCTGGAGAACAGGGGTACATATTTAATGTAATTTATTTTCAGAATATGATATAATCACATAAAATATTCTATGATCTACTGTGTTTGTTTCCCTATTTTTCTACTAATGTACACACATTTGTTTTATATGAAACACTCATTTAAAAGCAATGATATAAAATGGCATTTAAAAACACTAATTTAAAAGCAAAGATACATGAATCACAGTTACAGTGCAGTGTGAGATACACACATCTGAACGAACCCTCCTTTGAAAAATTATAATCTGACCCCATGGTACCTTTTTAGTTTTCGCCAAAACGATTCTTTTTTACTTTAAATGCACATAGTTAAATTGACCTTGTCTTTCTAGGACTTTTTTGGTATCCTCCGTGAACCAGGGTCTTGAAACCAAAACTAATTCCTGTACCCCATTGTACCTTTTTAGTTTTTGCCAAACTATTCCTCTTTTCTTTAAATGCCCATTAGTTCATTTTAAGTTGTCTTTTCTAGGACCTTTTTGGTGTCCTCCGCGAACCAGGGTCTTGAAACCAAAACCGCACACGCAGGGGACTTCAACCCCAATAATGACTTTAACTACCTTTGGGGGGACTCAACACAAGGCAATTCAAAGTGCTTTACAAAAATGAAAGAAATTAAGAAAATTGAGTCCCCCCAAAGGTAGTTAAAGTCATTATTGGGGTTGAAGTCCCCTGNGATTTTGAAGCTGGGCGTGTCTGAAGCTTGGCGATTTTTTGCGAGCAACGCGACCAACAACCAATCACATGAATCTCCCGCCCCCGACATACAAAGCAATAGCAATGTTAAAACGAAGTAAACTGGATATAAACTCTCCAAACAGGCGAAAAACCTACCAGTTTCACCCACCTCCCTCCATGCCTGGTTCCTCCGGTTTGTATCCCGGTAAATACTTCTGGTCGTAAAGAACCGGGTGATTTGCTACCGTAATATCTCGTTTGGAATATGAGGAAATGAACTGCGGTCTGGCTCTCCCAGCTTGCACGCGGTTTGATTGGCTAGTGCTTGCACTTGCGGGATTTGCATAAACGGGATTTGATTTGCTCGAGCCTCAAAAGTTGAACATTGTTCAACTTTTGATGCCGATAGATGCTCGTGATGCTTGCAAAGCCATGCCATGCTCCCCACAATGCAGTTCGGCGAAGATTAAAAATCTTCTACGTCACCCCATTCAAGTGAATGGGCGAAGCGTTGAAAGCATTTTTCGATGCCTGTAGTGTAGACGGGCCGTTAAGGTGTCAGGATTAGGGAAACCATTATTGTGAAGTTTCAGCGCTTCTGTATACTTTCTTGAGAATGTCTTGACTTTCCTGAAGATGTCTGGATTTTGCCAAGAGCATTTTGTTCATTGTTTGGTTAAGACTGCCTGGACGTTGCATCTTGATTGTGATTGTTTTCTAAGGGTCCTTTGTCTTTGCTAAAGATGACTAACTGTTTGACTAATTGTGTCAGAAAGCCCTTACTGGGAAGTTATGGCTCGATGTACTTTCCTATGAGTGTCTGGACTCTGGCTAACAAACTGTATGTGGCTAAATTGTTGGTTTGCTGATGGTGTTAAGTAGATTAAGGGTGTCTGTTGTTTGCCAACAGTGTCTCTGGTCTCTGGTATTAGACTAAGATCACATTGTTTGGCTAATGATGTTCTGGACCCTCCTAAGAGTGTCTGGACTTTCCTAAACTCATCTGTAGTTTGCTATGGGTGTCTAGATCTCCCTAAGAGTGCTTTAAGGTGGTCTTATGTTGCTAACGCTGTCTTTGTTCGTTGCTAAAGGAATGGATTTTTCTAAAGTTGTCAGGACTTTTGAATTATTTAAAGTTTCTATTTGCCTAAGATCGCCTGGACTTCACTGGGTATCTCGATTACGATTGGTCTGCAAGTTTCCCCAACAGTGTCACCATTTTTTTCTCGGAATCAGAATGATTGAACTCGTGCCTCCGACGTGTCCTCCTACCTGTCTTGTGGCGATGATGATGATGGTGGTGGTGTCTGACGTGGTGCTGGTGGGCGGAGATGTGGACGTGTTGGGCGAGGACGTCGGCCAGCCTCCCTCCGGCCGCCCCGCTCCCCCCACTGCGGGTGGAGGAGGAGGAGGAGGAGGCCGTGGAGGAGGTGTTGGTGGAGGAGGTGCCGTGGATGGCTCTGTTTATCCATCGCTCCATGCTGATGCTCCCGTCCCGACTGGACGTTGTTGTTCCTCCAACGCCTCCTCCTCCTCCTCCTCCATCTTTTTCTTCTTCCTCACCGTCACCTCCTTCCTCTTCATCGCCCTGACCCTCACCCTCCGAGCCTGAGGAGGTATCTGAGGGGGGGAGAAGAGAGGAGTTGAAACTTGAAACAAAGCACCACTCAGCTTCCAGAGAACAAACGGACCTCTGCATCTGTTGGGGAAATACTGAATGTCCTCTTCCAACATGAGTTCCACATGCTAACAAAGGTATTAACTGTAGCTGTGAACATGACAGGATGTGTGATTACCTAGAAGAGCATCAGGACTGTTTGAGGCATATGATAGCTATGTGATTAACATGATGATTCAGCCTCTATGGAGAGAGACATATGACAAGCATGATCATTTCTGACGTGGAGCTAATCTGAAGTAAACATTGAATACTGCTTTCTGTTCCTCCATCTTGTGACTGTGGAACTCCCTCTCTTGGATATCAGCATGTGAAGGACACTGTTCAGGAACTAGTTGATGCTCTGTATGTGATGACTACTTCCATTCTGGAGAGGATCACAGATACATGGATCCTGAGATTCAAGCTCACCGGGGACCAGTGAGAAGCCGGGGACCAGTGAGATTTAACATTTTTAAATATTCAGAAAAAGTCAGAATCTTTTAATTTTGAGAAAAAGTCAGAATTTTGAGAAAAAGTCAGAATTTTGAGATTTATTTACATTTTACTGATTGTCCTTTTTTTTATTCTAACCTTTTATGCTCTTAACCTTTTTTATATTACCATATTTTATTCAATATGTTCCTTGCTAACTTTTTATTTTATATTCTCCTCGCATTGTGAAGCAACTTGAGATGTTGTTGTTTTTAAAGTGTGCTATATAAATTAAATGTAATATTATTATTATTACAATGACAGAAGTAGAAATGGTGGACTAGGGCTGCACGATATTTATTTTTGATGGATATTGCAATTGCGAGATTATTTACAACATCATAGGGAATGCAAATTATTTTAAGATTGCTGATATTATCATCAAAATATAATTACAATTTGGCTAGCGCTCAAAAACATTGTACGTGATAGGCTAAGGGACATCTCTAAGCAGTTGACACATCACAGCAGACCTTTTTGAAAATGAAAACATGAAAAAAAATTCCCAGTTCTGCTCAAAATACAAATATGAACCTGGGTTAAGTCAAACTTCTCTCTCTTTAAATAGAATATTTTCTGGTTTCTTTACTTCTTTATCAGAAGTATATTACATTTCGTTGACATCTGAGTACATCATGTTAGGCTTTTGGACACAAGGATCAACTTTTTTCGCCATTTTCTGACATTTAAAGACAAAAAATATATACATTTTAATCAAGAAAGTAATCAACGAAATAACTGGCATTGAGAATAATCAAAGGTTAGCATCCTCTAAATCAAACCGTTAAAAACAAGTGACCCTTTAACATCCACTCCAATAATAAGTGGAATATATATTTGCTTTATTCAGAGACAGACAGAAAAATAGTTTCCGTGTTATGGTTATTTTGTCAGTAGCCTGGAAATGTTTCAGCTCCCATCTGTTTAGAGTTGCCGTGGGGGGGGTGGAGTAAAGTTTGTTTTACAAAGAATGTGTGCAAATGTGTGTGTATGAGTGTGTGTGTGTGTGTGTGTGTGTGTGTGTGTGTGTGTGTGTGTGTGTGTGTGTGTGTGTGTGTGTGTGTGTGTGCACATGTTTTGCATGTGATTTCCATAATGCCCAGAGCATTGTGGGACTAATAGTGGTTATATGAATAACAACAGAAGCTGACCCAGTTCTCACACACACACACACACACACACACACACACACACACACACACACACACAAAACAACACATAAACACACACACACACACACAGGTGCATTTTTCCCACAGCGCGGTAAGTTAGTCCAACAACCATCCAAACGAAAAAGAAAGCTCAGAAG